TGTGTTCATCCAGCTCTACACCCTATACATTCTGTTCCTCGTCGCAAAGATCTGTAGGTGAGAATTGGCCACCTCGGGTGTCAAATGAAGAACCAAACAGAAACTTGTGACTGAGGAGACACCATCCTTAAATTTATGGACAGATCTTTTTATTCAATAAGATCATAAGACAGAAGAGCAGAATTAGGCTATTCAGCCCATTGAGTTTGCTCTGCTGTTCAATCATGGCTGATCTGTTTCTCAACCTCATTCTCCTGCCACCTTCCCTTACCCTTTGATCCCCTTACTAATCAAGTATTAACTTTGGCCCCCGGGTGATGTCACCAAAAACATTGACAAAGTTAATACTTGATTAGTAAGGGGATCAAAGGGTAAGGGAAGGCGGCAGGACTCTTCTTCAGAACTCAGGACTGATTAAGTAGACTATTGTGGCACCATTTATCAAATACCTTTTGAAAATCCAACCATATTACCTCCATTTTTCCTCTTTAATCTACCCTGCTTTTTACTCCCATCAAGAATTCTAATAAATTTGTCAGGCATGATTTCCCCTTCATGAAACCATGCTGACTCAGCTTGATCATATTATGTATTCTGAATGCTCTATTACAATTTTCATAATAACAGACTCTAACATTTTCCCAATAACATGTTGTGAAACTGGTATTAAAGCAAACTACTGAACATTTTATGTTCACTAGCTTTTGACAAAAAGAGTGCTGAGAACTATAATGGCAAGGCTGAGTAAATGAGGATATGTATAGAAGTAGGACTGTTTGCCATGTTCATTCTCAGCTCCTGAAGCATATCCATATGAAGTAAGAGCTGGACGACGCTTGGGCTGAATTGTGATGCGTATGTTATCTGCCATTTGTTAAGTGCCAGGTAATGCGGTCCAACAAGCGAGAATCTAACCATTGACCCTTGCTATTAAATGGCATTTTCATCACTGAACTCCACAGTTAACGCCGTAGGGGTTACTTACAACAGATACTGAGATGGACCTCCAAATAAATAGTGGTTACAAGAGCAGGCCAGAGACACAGAATTCTATGGCAGGTAACTTTGCCTCCTGAATCCCCAGGACCTGCCCATAAAGTACAAGTCAGGAATGTGACGGAATATTTTCCATTTTCCTGGATGAGTGCAGCTCTAACAATGCTCAAGAAGTTCAGCCATCTAGGACAAGTAGCCTGCCTGATTGGCAGCCCATCCACCACTTTCACCGTCTACTCCCTTCACCACCTTCAGCGACATCTTCCAAATGGATTTTTATCTTGATGGGGTGATTACAAGATGCAGATCATGTGATAAATCCCAATGTTTAGCTTACTGGATTGATTCCTGGTGCAAGAGCATTGTCCTCTGAAGAGTGGTTATGTAGAATTGGCCAATATTCCCCTGCAGTTTAGAACAAGAAGTATTTTCAATGAAGCATTGTGTGATGGGAAGATCTCTTGGTGTTGAAAGTTTGTTCCACTGGCTGTGAAATCTAGATCTAGAAGACATAGTTGGGATTGAGACAGGAATTGATCATTTGTCTCTGAAATGAAGTGTAATTTCTTCAAAGTACTATTAAACCTTTCAAATTCTCAATGCAGAGAGCACTGTAGGCTCTAATTCAGTATGGTACATCAATAACAAGTGAGTTCAGCAAGCAATTAAGATGGCAAGTTGAACGTTGTCATTTATTGCAAGGGAGATGGAATATGAAAATACAATTTTTAAAAGAAAAATTGCTAGGCACTGAGACCACATCTGGAGTACTGTGTACAGTATTTTTTGGTCTCTATTTAAG